GCCCGGTCTGTAGGCTGTCTCCAGCTTTGGGAGGGAGAAGCGTTTTCCAGGGTGAGGGGGAGCCGGTCCTACCACAATATTCCCTGCGGTGCGAGAACATTCCACCCCCCCCACCCCCCCTGCAGCTCCCTCCTCTTCGGACCTTTCCAGACCTCTTGTGATCTCCTCAGCCCTCCTGTGTTTGGATCTGAGAAGACTCCCAGCATGGCCATGTGTCCTCATCTCAGGCACGTTTTTGGAGGACTTTCTACATCGGGCAAGGGATTTCACAAGGCTTAACTGATCAAATTCAAATAACAGCCACGCAAGGTAAATACTGCTAACATTCTCCCGCCTCCATATCCAATTGATCATCAGGTTCTGCCGGCCCCGCTTCAGAACTGAATCCTGAATCCGTCTGCTGACAACCCCCTAATACAAGCCAATGTCAGCTCTTCCTGTCTGGGCCTCGGGCCATCGTGAGGATCTTATGACCGAAAGCGTGTGTAGGATGTGGGCCAATCTCTGCCCTACGACTGGCCTTTGCCATCAGATCAGCACCCTGCCCGTGGTAAAGTCACAAGTCTCCTTTGACACTGAGTAAGTCTGTCCTTCCATTCTTGGGATTCTTCTTCTCGATTATTGCTTGACTGTTGCCAGAGCAGGGCACCTGCAAGCTGGGCTAGGTAAGAACCCGCTTGGAAACCTTTGCTTCTGATGAATCCAGACCCTAAAGCTGCTGATCACGTCCTTGCCAGTTAACTTCTGCGGCAATAGGAGTGTCCGGATGCCCAGTGGGAGTACGAGGCAGTTGGAAGTCAAGGGTTGAACAGCAAAGAGCAGGGGAAGGTCGTGGGAAACAGAAAACAAGGCTATCTCGGCCCACTCGGCGAACTGTCCACAGGGAGACCTGAGGGCAGGCCCAGCCCATGAAGGGGTCTGAGTCGAGTCTAGCAGAGGGGTGTCTGGCTGAGAGCCCAACACACAGCAGGTGTTCGACCCACATCAATGAGGAATGAACAGGTACCAGTGAGCCCGAGTCCCCTGGGCAAGTGAACCTTCCTCACAGCTGAACGGAGGGAGGCCTGGCAGTCTGAACTATTCGTGTCGGAAAGCCGCCCAGTGTTGCTGTGGTATCATAACTTTCTGGCCCGAGAACCAGGAACAGGGGGCGTCCGAGGTTTAGAAAAATAACTTCAGTTGGTCTTGCTTCGTGAAAGTCAGAGCGAGAGGTCAAAACAGACGTTCTGGAGGGAAAATCTGTTGGTCTAGAAGATGCTATGGTATTTCCTTCTGTGCTGGGGGGAAGGGACAGGCTCACCCCAGAGGAGCTTGAAAATATGGGGCTGGAATCAGAAACCGGCCACAGCTATGTGGATTCATAGACAACAGGGCTATTCTCTTCTTGTCCTCTCAAGGGCAGAGGTCCTTGACCTCTGTCTCTTTTACTTGGTACTTGAATCTCTGCCCAAACACAAACACCTTTTCCTACCCCTCAGTACAGTTGGGGAGCTGAGGGGAGGCTCCTGTGGGCACCTACAGGGTACCTACCAAGTGATGGTGTATTAGAACTTCAAGTTGGCCATCAGGAGTTTTGGTATATGCACCCTCCCCCCACACCAGGGTGGGCTCCGTGACTGCTCCGGCCAAAAGAATATGCCAGAAGAGACACTTTGGAGCCCAGATCTTAAAAGAGCAGGAATTTTCGCTGCCTGTCTTTTGGAACACCCCTTCCCGGAGACCTGAGCTGCCATATAACAACATCAGCTGCACCAAGCTGCCGTGCAGGAGACCAAGCTAGTCTCCTGGAGACGCTGCACAGAGAGAGAGAGACACCTGTTCAGCCCTTATCTGAGGAGACAGCTGGCCCAGGAGACACCTGAGGCTTCAATGCTCTAGCCCCAGCCAGCATCTGACTCTAGTGCAGGAAAACCCCAAGTGAGAACCACTCGGCCGAGCCCAGTCCACCCACCGAATTGAGAGAGAGAACAGATACTCTCTTTCCTTTTCTAAGTTCGTCTATTTTGAGAGACAGAGAGTGAGGGTGGGGGGAGGGACAGAGAGAGAAGAAAACAGAATCCCTCACTCCTGTTTATTCAGCATTACACCACCCAGCAGGTGCACTAGCAGATTGGGCACCTAAACAAAACCTACACTGTTCATGGAGATTCTCGCAACTGGGTCACAGGTAGTGGTATCCCTTCCTTCTACGTTTTGGTCAAATGAATTTTTAAGTAAACTAAAAAAAGTAGGAGCTCTTTTGAGAAATATACACTGTTCTGTGGGAGTCATAAGTATTCTTAATAATTGTCCTTCATCTGATTTTTTTTTTTGCCTACACTTCGCTACATTCTGGTGGTAAATCATTTGGAAAAAAGGGAGAAACCAGAGGAAGGACAAGTTGGCCAGAGAAACCCTCGGGAAGGGATACGAATGATGCATGCCTGCTGAGCACTTATCGTGACCAGTCTCAGGACTTTATATGTATTAACTTGATCAATCTTCCAAGCAACCCAATGGGGACAGTTATTATGACCTCATTTTACATTTGCGGCAGTTGGAGACCCAAAAGGCAAGAAAATTGCCCCAAACCCACATAGGTTAGTTGAAAGGCAGAATAATGAGCCAAACCTAGGGGTTGGGCTTTTGCAGTTGGCATTGATCAAGGCCGGCCTGGATTCTTGAATCAAGTCTGCCGGGGTCCTTCTGCTCTGACACTTACCTGGGCAGAAGCCATCGATCCCATTTTCTCAGGGTCTCTGGCTCCAGAGCTGCCTCCACCTGCTCCATTTTCCCTGGGTCGGGGAGGATCAGCAGGGCCAGGGCGTTTCCACTGTATTCTATCTGCAGGACGGTGCAAGCCATTTCCTGGTCATAGAGGAATCTGTGCATTTCCTTCTGGTGCATCATGGGAATGCGGAGGGAGGTCCGCTCGTCCACAAAGAAGCTTTCTTGCTTCTGGGTCTGGTAGCGATCGAAAGGATGCTTCCACTTAGCTTAGGACACAAAATCCACAAAACTATGAGAACACACTCCAAGAGAGCAACTGTGGGCAGACACGTACTAAGCCGCACTGGTTTGGTGATTTCCTCTTGGGGTGTATGTAAATATAAGGCAGAGAAGTGGTGTGGATACAGAATCAGGGGGCCAGAATTTTGGGCCGGCTCAGCTGCCAGAGTGAGCCCCCCAGCACTTAAGCTCCAATGGTCTACGATTTTGTTCCATTTCAGAGCAATGTAACTTTCAAGAAGCTAAAAGGTTCTTCTATCTATTAACCACCTTCCATGTGCAAGGCATTATCTCTTTACACTTGCATGAACATTCATATTAAACAAGTATTAGGATCTCCATGTCAGCAACGAGAAGCTGAGTCCCTGGGAATTTATAGAAGCATACCCAATTTGCAGAGCCATTAGGTGGTAGAACAGGGACTAGAACTTGACCGGCTCCACAGCTCATGTTCTTTGCAAACACTGACTTGACCCTTCACTGCCACGCTAAACAATCTCCTACAGAGAAGGTCAAGAGCCCCCCCGCCACCTCTGAACTTCCTAATACTCAGGTTGAAAAAGGAGAAAGATTTCAGTTAATAAAATGTTACGTATCATGCCAAAAAGCTCATTAAGACACAAGAAATGTGGCATCTGTGGGTCACAGCCTTGTCCACGTGTGCAGTATCCTCTCTTTCTCCTTACGGTCTCCACGCACCACAGCCTCCGGACTTGGCCTCCTGAGAGCCCTGGTCTTGGTGATGGGAAGCTGGCTCATCCTGTCCCTCTCGCCCACATCCCATCAGTGGCCAAGTATTGCCGATTCCGCCTCCAAGGCTGCAACTTTATCCAAAGCGGCCACCTTCCTTACTTTGGAGCCCTTCGAGAACCTCCTGACCAGTCTCTGTTCTCCCACCCTTCCTCTCCTCCAAACCATTTTCCAGATTGTAGCCAGACTGATCGTTTTAAAACAGATGTGATCATGCCACGCCACTGCTTCAAACTTCTTGGTAATTCTGGTATCCTACAGGTAAATCCTAGAATTCTCCACACAGTTCCTGCTTATCCTTTAATCGCAACTCTTGGTACTGTCCCCCAGGCACTCCGCTCTTGTGTTCTGTGTTCTAGTCCGACTAAATTCATTTCAGTTCCTTGAAAGTGCCACAGTTTTTTCTTTTCCTTGGACCTCTGCACGCACTGGGCTTTCAACCTGAACCCTCTTTTCCCCACCTCTTGGCTTGAGTAAATCCAACTCACTCTTCATGTCTCGGCTTAGATGCCTTCTCTTCCAGGAAGCCTTCCCACACTCCCCAAGTCTGGAAAACTGTACCTTTCGAGAACTCCATGGCACCCATGCCGACTCAAGCAGAACTTACTTTCCCATTGAGTTGCAATTGCCTTTTTACTCATTTCCAGCTCTCCTGGGACTATGAGCTACATAAGGATAGGAAAACTCTATCTTATTCATAGAGTTCCCCAAGACACTAACAAAGTCCCTGAAACGTAGTAAGTACTTGATGTATATTTAATTCATTCATTCATTAATTTATTTATTTTTAAATTTACATCCAAGTTAGCATATAGTGCAATGATGATTTCAGGAATAGATTCCTGAGATTCATCCCCTATGTGTCACACCCAGTGCTCACCCCACCAAGTGTCTTCCTTAATGCTCCTGGCCCGTTGAGCCCATCCCCCCACCTACAAGCCCTCCAGCAGCCCTCAGTTTGTTCTCTGATTTAAACATGAGAGTCTGCTGTGTTTTGCCCGCCTTGTTTTTATATTATTTTTATATTGTTTTTATATTATTTTCGCTTCTCTTCCTTGTGTTCATCTGTTTTGTATCCTAAATTCCACATAAGAGTGAAGTCATACGGTATTTGTCTTTCTCTGACTAATTTCGATGTATATTTGAAAACAAATTAATGAATACCATTCCTAGAGGCCTCAAAACGAGACCTAAGTTCGACTTGAAATCATTCACTCGGCAAACATTTTAAACATACTTGACCTCTCTTTCCCTTTGACTAGGCGGCTGAGTGGTTTGGGGGCCGTGGCCTTGTGGCAGATGCAGAGAGGCAGAGCTTTGTGAAGACCTTGACTGGCAGGCCCATCACCATCACGGTCGAGCCCAGTGACACCCCTGAGAATGTCAAAGCCAAAACTCCAAGACAAGGGGGGCATCTAATTTTTGCGGGCAAACAGCTGGAGGATGGCCGTCCTCTCTCAGGCTACGATGTCCAGGAAGAGTCACCCTGTGCTCGCTGTGTCACCTGGGAGGTGGCATCGCTGGGCCTTCCCACCGCCAGCTGGCCCAGGACTATGACAAGGTCATCTGCTGCAAGTGCCGGTCTCGCCTGGGTCCCCATGCTGTCACCTGCCACAAGCACTGTTCCCCAAGAAGAAACTCAAGTAAGTCCCCTCTCCCAGCTCTTCCTTTGTCTGCTCTAATGGAAAAATAAGTAAGTAAATAAATAAATAAATAACTGAGTTCAACAACAAGACTCAAAGCTTCCAGATACAAAGCAGGAATGTGTGTCTCTGATTTGGAAGTCATTTGGCTCAGGGGTTATCAGAATCAGATACAGCCCTTCAGGGGTGGTACTTAATGCCTTCTCAGGGGAAATAAATAAAATTCAGGACCACGCTTGGGACCGATCTCTCTGCAAATAGTCAAAAGCTACGAAAGGCAATCCCTTCCCCGTCCGGGAAGACTGGATTGCAAAACTCTGTCAAGCAGCCCAGGGATGAGGTAGGATAGGTCACCGCATTCCCAGGCTGGGGGTAGATGGGAGGAGTCACCTGCTCTGGGTTCTTTGTTGTTATTACTCATTCGGTGCAGGGACTCCCCAACCTAGAAATTAAAATAGAACCAGGGGAACCAGAGGCAAATGTGAAATTGTCTCCCAGAGACCTTGCCACAACAGGCCGTAAGAAACTCACAAAAAGAGAATTTCCACTGAAGATGAGCTCAAAGCTGAAAATCTCAATCCTCTCCTGAAAGAGAAGCAGTTGGGGTAACGAACCCAAGAATTCACAGCTCGAGATCTCCAGATAATGGAATAATCCGAAAGACATTTTGAAAAGTGTGTTAAAAAAACGGAAGGACTAAAATTCATCAGATGGGCCACTGGGACAAAACAATAGGTCTTGAAAAACTGAGACCTCGAGGCGAAAATACAGTCAGTGAGATTGAGAATTCAGTGGACGGGTTTGAAGTAATAAGCAGCAATGGCTTTTGAGGTAATTAGTAAAAGGGAAATTGGGCGGAAGGAATCAGCTAGATGGCAGCATGGAGAGACAGAGACGTTTTCTGGGGTGGGGGTGGGGTGGGGTGGGGCGGGAGTTATAAAAGATGAGCTTGAGGTGTCCTGCCAGAAAGCAAGGAAGTGCTCCAGAAAGGAAGGAAAATCAGCAATGATGGGGGCATATCAAGGAACCAACTGAAAAGTTCTCCTGATGATCAGTGCCAGAAAATTTTAAGCGACAAAACTAAGTATTAGTCGATTGCAACCCAGAATATGAAATGCATACCCTTGAGTCCCTAATGATGTGAGCAAATGATTGAATAAATAAATGTGACAGAAGAGAAAAATCTTCCATACCGAAGAATTCCAAATAATTGAGGTAGGTCCTCCTTTCTCAAGGAGAGGGAACATAACTTCCCACTCCCGAAGTGTGGGATGGGCACGGTGACTTCCTCCAAAGAGCACAGTCTGGCGATTCGGAAAAGGGTTACTTTACAACAGAGAAATATGATGGCCGTGACCTTAGCCGGATGGTCCAAGTCAACATCAACAGCGGTAAGTCACGCCGAGAGTACGTATCCTTGGCGTGATGCGATAAGAATGGCCCTTCCCCTGTGTGGCCCTCCTCTCCACGTCCCGTTACCCCAGTTTTAATCACGAGAAAAACAAGCAAGTCTCAACTTACAGACACGCTACCAAGTACCTCGCCGGCACTGTTCGAAACTGGCAAGGTCATTACAAGCAAGGAAAGTCTGAGACACCGTCACAGTCCAGAGGAGCCCCCAATGACGTGGCGATCCAGCGTAACGTGGATCCCGGAAGAGACACAAACATCAGGTAAAAACAAACATCTGAATGGACCTGAGTTTAAAACAATGGAGGAGTTCACTTTCCTAGTATCACAATCGAGATACATGCTACTAAGTCAGGAAATAACCCGAGTAGAAGAAATGAGCCCTACAGGGAGCGAGTGTTCACACGGCAGTCACAATGGGCTAATAAGCTGTTCACACAAATTAAGATGTGGTGAGGGCACTAGAACATAAGCCCGAGGTAATATGTACAGGATGATACAATTCTGGTAAAATTTAGAACACATAGGACAGTGGTTGCTTCTGGGAGGAAACGGGACCAGGGAAGGGTGCAAAAGGAGGTGAACTCTACCTGCAACATTGCATTTTTTAAAAAAATAAAATAAAAATCTGAAGCCAATGGTAAAATGTAAACATCCATTCTTGGCGGGGGAGTATATGGTGGTTTTAATATGCTATACACTTTTCTATGCTCGGGAGCGCCTGGGTGGCTCAGTCGGTTGAACGTCTGACTTCGGCTCGGGTCAGGATCTCGCGGTTCATGGGATCGAGCCTCGCACCGGACTCTGTGCTGACAGCTCAGAGCCCGGAGCCTGCTTCGCATTCTGTGTCTCCCTCTCTCTCTGCTCCCCCCCCCCCCCCACCTCGCACTCTATCTCTCGCTCTCTCTCAGAAATAAACATTAAAAAAATTTGTCTATGCTCAAGATAGACAGTCATATAAAAACTAAAATTTTTCTAAAAAAGGAGTTATTCCTAGGAGAGTATGATAGGGTGTATAACAAAAAATAAGTAAAAACTGAACAGAAGGAAATGGCAAGAGCGAACAAATGTCGATAAGTCAAGAAGTAGTCATCTAAGACGCTTTAAATATTTGGAGCCGCTGCAAGACTTCAAGACAGGTGCCTTTCAGGGGCAAGGAGGCAGAAGGGATTCGGCCCGAGCCAGCCCTCACCTTTGAAGAAGATGTAATTCAGGACAACCATGAGCGTGTCTCGCGTGAACTCCTGCAGGCAGTCCGCCACCTGCCCGTACGTCTGCTTTCTCACGTACTCGTTAATCTGCCTCCTGGTCGTGGCGGAATCTGTGAAGTTGGCAGAAAAAGCAAACGCTCCGTACAGCTCCCGGACGGTGTCCAAAAAGTGCTGCCGAGGCTTTAGCTGCTTGTCCAGAAACAAGGAGTTGCCTACCTTCAGTTCAAGTTTGGGGCTGGGCAGGTCAAGGGTGTGGATGAGGCTCTGGAAACCCCGGTGGATGTCCGCTTCCGAGATCTCCGTGAGGTTGAAGCCAAGGCCCTCCAGGATCTGAGTCGGGGTGTCAGCCTGGGCCCCCAGAGAGAGCAGGGCCAGGGTGGCAGAGATGCTCACTGGGGAGAAGAAGATGTTGCCCGAGGCTTCCGCGGCCAGCTGCTTGTACAAGCGCAAGGCAAAGTTGGTGATGGTCGGTGTGATTTTGCGGTAGGCGGGGGCTGGCACGGACAGCTGATCACTGGGGGCTGGAGGCGCCCCCGGACTCTTATCTCCATGGGCAGGAAAGGGCCGACAATGGACAGAGGGCAGGATCGCTGCTCCCAGCAGCCACAGCCAAGCTGGACCCATCCTCTGAAAACAAGACAGTGAACACACCATTCTACCGCATCCGGAACCTCAGGGTCCCCGTTGCTCGCCCAGTGAGCCTCACACCCAAGCTGTACCCCGCATAGGTGTCATGAGGGGCCCTGCAGAGGACGAGGTGGAAGGTGAGCCGGCGGGGCTCTGTCGCTTTCCCCCAAGTCTGAAGAGCTGCCCTAAATCTGCTTGACTATTAATACGTCTACAAGGTTTTGTTGACAAAAGGACTTGGGCTATAAAAAGAAACTTCCCTGGTTTATTCTCTCTTCCTCTCTCCCCCCACCTGCGACCTCCCTCCCCACCTCCTCCTTCCTTCCTTTTTCCTTTCTTTTTCTTCTTTCAAGTATTTCTTTGAATCACTCATCACCTTTCAAGGATTGGGGTGACTACGGAGCAGATGTTCAGGACACTGTGACAGTGAGGGACGCTGGGCCTTGCTAGCACCGAGGTGTGGCCACATCAACTTCCACCCTTGCCCGTTGGAAGGGAGAGGATGATGGGAGGCACTCCTGGGTCAGGTCCCCAAGGAAAGGGGAGTGTTCGCCAGTGTTTGGGGTTTTCATTAGCTGGGGTGCTGATGTGGTGGTGAGTCACGGGGGCCCGGTGGATGCGGGCCACCCACGAGGCGTGGACGGAGCCCGGGAGCACAGACCGACTCTATCTCCATCAGACTTGCTGTCTGAAGCAGCAGCTGTCACATGCAGCCCTTGTCACATGCAGCAGCTGTATCTTAATTGATGCAGAGGGTTAGGGAAGATGCCTATTGACCTGTGTTGAATTGTGCACCCCCCAAATTCATAGCTCGAAGCTCTACTCCCCAGTGTCTCAGAATGCGATCTTGTTTGGCAATGTAGTTGAGGTACAATTAGTTAAGACGAAGTCATTAGATGGGCCCGATCTAATATGATTGGTGTCCTTCTACAAAGGAGACACTTGGCACAGACTCGCACACAGGGAGACGGCCCTGTGGAGACAAAGGCAGAGATCGGGGTGATGCTCCTACAGCCGAGGATGCCAGAGGTGGCCAGCAAACCCCCAACAGCTCGGGGAGGAGCCTGAAGCAGGTTCTCCCTCCCAGCCTCGGAAGGAAGTGGTCTACTGCGACGCCTTGATCTTGGACTTCCGGGCGCCATGATGGTGGGGCCATACCTGTCTGTCATTGAGACCCCCCGGGGTGTGGTGCTTTGTGGCAGCAGCCCTAGGAAATGAATACTGTCTCTCTTATACTTCAGGTTATAGAATGTGCCAGAGAAGCCTTCGAGCTACTTCCAGGGAGTCAAAGTGGTGCAGGGGCAGGAGACTCCTTCCTCAGGGGATGGAACGGAGCTCCAGCTCGAGGTGACACTGCAGCATAGACGTGGCTGATCTCTCCTCATTCTGACCCTCGTCTAGTGCCCTTTCAGGGTTTCCACGCACACACTGCACATCTTCACAGTGCACACACTGTCACATGGCCACTTGGAGCCCTCCCCCTCTCTCCCCCGGACC